CCAGTCACCAGTCACCAGTCACCAGTCACCAGTCACCAGTCACCAGTCACCAGTCATCAGTCACCAGTCACCAGTCACCCGTCACCAGTCACCACTCACCACTCACCAGAGACGACACCAGGCATCACAAGAGTGAACACCGACTTAACCACCGTCCACCAGAGTCAGGCAGTCATCTGTCATTAGTCATTACAACCTTACAAAACACCTGTGTGGCTGTGTGCATCCCAGGGCCAGAAACCAGAACTCAGGAGTCCAGGAACCAGAGCGGGCACAGGCCGTACAGCTACCATATAAGAAGTTTTCAAAATATATAAATAACAAAGCTGTTGTCAAGTGTCAAGATTGTTGGGCTATGTAGAGCGCCAGGCTTAGCCGCCCCCAGCAAGCAGCAGCCAGTTATGTAAATAGCACATATATCAGAGTAATATGTAGTGGACCAGTGGTTACAGGTGTCTAGTCATTGACTTGTTGAATACACTGAATAGTGAATAGAGTATAGACTATAGACCATTCACCATTCACCAAATGTAGAGTGAGTAAAGTCAAAGAGTTGAATGGATTTTGGTGACGCCTGACGCGGCTGACGGCCTGACGGCCTGACGGCCTGACGGCCTGACGCCCGGCTGACATTTTGTTATTTTATTATTTTAATACAAATATCCGCCTCACGACCTCCCGCGCTCACCCGCACTGGCTCTCGCCCCGGGCCCCCAGGTTTACGAAATTACCGTTTGTTACATGATCAACTCTATAGAATAAAGTAAAAATATGAGAGGGAAAAGAACGGCGAGTCATGGACAATTGTTTATTTTATTTATTTGTAGCCGTACCGTAGTAGGGAATGTATTTTTATTATGTATATTGTATATATGTATAAATAACGATTGGACCGTGGGCACACAACGGCTATAATAACATCTCTGTAGTGTAAGTGCAGCCGTAAGCTGCATAATGGCCAATATGTCAGAAAAGTTTCATTTCTCGATCGACCGTGGAGGCACCTTCACTGGTATGTGCGAGGAAACGCTCGGCGCCTGAAATCCATTTGATTGCGAAAGTTATTCTTGAAACTTGTGCGTTGTCCCTAAACTATACCGGTGGTTGGTTCCGTACTCATTGCAATCTATAAAGGGTGTAAAGTAGATTATGTTAATTCGATACGAATGTATGTGACATTCTTGGTCTCGATTTATTTATAGTCATTCGCGTGTGAGTGCAGATAGCACATAAATTTTTACTGTACCAGGGGCGCTGCGGAGTATGGCATCGTTGCAGATGCCGAGGAACAAACATGATCTCATGTCACGTTGCTAGTAGTTTAAATTGAGAAAGTTAACAAGCGGTTCTTAGTTGAAAATGATCAAGTTATAGGCAAATAAATAGTGCAGCCTTCTATAAACCTACTTACAATTGAACAACACAACAATTCATACATATATAGTAGTATATATATA